AAGGCAGGCATATTCCTCAAAGTATAGATGTATTAGGCATGTCATATGGACACATTCGGGGAAACCCAATTCTAAACATCCCTTGGTTTTCCCCTTAGTTAAAATTAAAGTTTTCTTTCCCCCTCCCATGCAGTCCATCACATGGTCCCATCAGGACACAGTCCAAGGGTTGCTTGGCCTCAGATCCCACCTTCTTGCACCTGGTGAGAAAGTCTTTGATTCTCAGAGGAAAGAATTTTATTTTGACTACAATCCCCCAGCTATCTCTACCTCCCCACTCCTGTTCCCACAGCTTGATTCATTTCCGCTGTGGCAGCCCTGAAAGTGCCAAGGGGGAAAATGGCTCCAGGGCTGACACAGTCTCCAACCTTTGTGGCTTGTTGGCCCAGTTGGGGGTGGGAGAAGGGGTGCATGCAGCCCCTGCATGTGTGGCAAGGCAGTGTGCATGCACAACTTGACTTGCATGAGCGATGGGCCAGGGCACACACACACGAGTGTCCATCAGCCCACTGCTCATGTAAGTTGAGCTGCGCACACACAAGTACTCCAGCCAGCCGTTTGCATGGCCCAATTCTGAGTAGGCCATGTCCCGGTAGTGGGGTGCAGACCAAGGCTTGGGGATTCCTACTCTGGTACAGCCAGTTTGGTCTACTGGTGAAGACCCCAGACTAGAAACTAGGAAACTGGCCAGTCACTCACTCTCAGCCCAATTCACCTCACAGGTATGTTATTGTGGGAAAACAAGTGGAGGAAGGAGTACTAGGTATGTTTTCTACCTTGGTTTATTTATAAAAAAAATAAAGGCAGGATAAAAAAATTAAATGGTCCATTTAATAACATCATATCTCAACTTGAAGAGTTATGCAATTAAGCTTAACATGTTGGCTGACCTAAATTACATACTGTTTCAACACAGAATATTAGTAAGGCCTATTTTTTTCTTCTTTATCTTTAAAACACGCATTTCTTCATTGGGCTTTCAATTAGTATTTTCAGTATGACAAACA